TAATATAATTTATTTAAAAAAATTAAATTAAATTATTAAATTTATTAAATTTTAAATTATTTTTTATATAAATTTTGCATTAGTGCGCGGCGCTCTCCGTCTAACTGCGCCCCTCTTCGTGCACGCTACTAGCCCTGCTCTGACTACACTGGGCCTCACGCAATTGGCGTATTGTATTCCGAGCAATGGGTCTGATAGGGTTTTATGGACGTGGCTCCCGACGCTCTGACTTTGCCCGTGCCTGGTGTAGAGTATACGATCCTTGGCATTTTCTGCCCCATTGTCTAAGATGGAGTAAGATCGGGAAGTTGAATGGCTGGAACTAATAATATGAGTCAAATCGTAGGACTGGGATAGAAAAATCTAAAGTAAAATTCCACATTCTTGGAAAGTGGAACAAGTGTAAATTGTTTAGGAATCAGTGTAATTACCATTGCTAATAAATTGTTCATTTCTGAGTGTCAAAAGTTATTCCATCACTACTTGAAGTATTTTTTCTGATAAATGACTTTCTTAGTTTATGTCTGTTGGATTTCGGGGTTTTCCTTCGGGATCAAAAGTCACTCTTCAAAAGTTTTTATATTTCCGTATTTAGGAAATATTTATTTCTTAGCTGCTGTGGAATCTTTCCTTTACGTTATAACAAAAAAAAAAAAAGGAAAAGTCCCGAAAGGACTTTCTCATTGCGGTTTTTTCTCAAAATACATATGGTGACCAGAGATAGTCAAGAAAGAAAAATCCAAGAGTTAAAGGTGGAAGGAGAAATTCGATTGCCCTCTGGGGAGGAGTTTAACGTGCATTTCACTAGTAATAGTTAGTTAATTCGTTGTAAGTCTTCGTTCAGTAAATTACCTCTTCACTGTCTAGAATCTTATAATTTTTAATAATAATTGTCAGTCTTAAAATTCTCCAAGTGTTTATTTATTTCGATCTCCATAATCAAATAATTTCTAATTGAGAAAAGTCCGCTGAAAGGATTTCTGAATAATGTTATTTTTTGAAAATCCATTTCATTTCATTCTCATTGCTGAATCCGTATGATATTTCTTATGCCATTCAACTTAGAGTCGATGGAAAAATAAAAATAGAAATGTGAATGTGATTCTGCGCATGTTCCATTTTGTCCCATTGTCTCTTAAAGAGAAATGCATATATCATATTATATTCTGGTCAGTACTTGTATATGCTAGGTTGTACTTCCGCCCCTGCTCTGAGTAATGATGCAGCGTTTCAATATCACGTTGACTAGTCAAACTTCTCCAATCTCTTTCAACCGTCGTCAGTAACTGTTTTAACTAAAATTTTTCAATGAGGATTTATCGCAACTTTAAAGAAGATAACGATGGTACCTTAGTTGCAAATAGGATAAGAATTATTAGGAATTAATGCTGATAGCCCCGATGAAGTGGTATAATTTAGACCATCAAATTCCGGATAATCTTAACTTCTGAATGGAGTACTTATACGACCAGTGAAAACTCACGATAACGGTATCAACTTAACCTTCGAACGCTATCAGTTATAAATAGATATACTATCTATCGGCTAACAGACATAGTGCTTCTCCAAGAAACATACAGGGAGAGAAAAAATAGGTACTGTTTAGAGTTGATTTATTGTAATATTGAGACCTTGACTTGGCGAGATGTTGCACGTTATGCAAAGGAGTCTTAGAACTCATTTTGGATAGTTATTTCTAAGGACATCAAGTTGTGGAAATTGGCAGGATTTAAGCAGTCGGGCTGTTTGGAAAACAGCAGATATCTCGAGGGCAATGAAGATGTGTGCAATTATTTCAAAATATGTAAACGACGGTCGCACCTTAATTGCTATTTTCGGGGAATCTTAAAATGGTCTCTTTGAGATTGGGGTGGATTAGGAACTAGAGAAATTTTATATTCAGGATAGGTAAATGGTGACATTTTTTTACTTAGGGGTAGAAAATATTGTGGATATTCAGCTCAGTAGCAGTGTAGACTGTAGGGCTAAGGAAAATTTCTTTATCGGCCCAGCACCATTTCAAAGTGGTGAAGGCCCGGGTGGAGGGATTTTCGCCCGACATGTCCCTAGGGAATTCCCTAGAAAAAACGCGTTTTACGGGTAACTAAATGCCAGCCCCTGTAGGCCCTCAAAAAATATAATGATAGGGTCAATCGACAGATAATTATTTTTGCCGGGCCGGTAATTAGGTCTCAGGGGTGGGAAATTGAGGAATGAACGTGTAAATTACGTTCAAAGAGACCCCCTAGATTTCACCAACATGAATTCTCCAATGATCGTTTGGAGAAAAATATGGCGGCTCAATCAC